TATTATGAAAATCGACCAAGAAAAAGCCTTTGATCGCGTCAGTCATTCCTATCTTTTCAAAGTCTTGGAAAAGTTTGGCTTCTGTGGTTTTTTTATTGACTGGATAAAAATCTTTTACAATAGTATTTATAGCAGTGTCAAATGTAATGGTCATCTAACAAAATATTTCCCTATTAAAAATTCAGTTAGGCAGGGTTGCCCTCTGTCAGCATTACTTTACGTCCTCGTGGCAGAACCACTTGGTCAGGCAATTTTAAAAAATGATAAAATTGTTGGAATTTCTATCCCTATGAGTAACATGTCTACAAAAATTTTTCAACATGCCGATGATTCCACATTGACCTTGTCAGACAAATCTTCGATAGACGAAGCTTTTACTGTTTTTGAAAATTATAGTCGGGCTTCCGGGGCTAAAATAAACAAAGATAAGTCCGAGTTATTGTGTATTGGTTGTGGACAAATGTCAGCTGCTGAATCTGACGCGGTACAAGTTAAATTACTACGGGACGCAATTTTAGTTTTAGGTGTGTATTTAGGTCCAAATCACCAGTGTTGTGATTCCCTAAATTGGGACCCTAAGATTGTTTCCATTAGAAATACTTTAAGATTGTGGTCTCAGAGAAAACTAACCATTCTGGGGCGAGCCACTGTTATATCTTCGCTAATGTTATCTAAATGCTGGTATACATTGGCTGTGACCTCCATCCCTGATTGTTACAAAATACAACTTAAAAATTTATGTTTAAACTTTCTCTGGGACGGAGGTGCCCATTTAGTAGGCTACAAAACCCTTATAGGATTGGAGTCTGAAGGAGGTTTACAGTATCCTGATATAGACCTGAAAATGAAGTCCTTCAGAATTAAATTCGTTTTTAGATTGTTCAATGATGTAACGACAATTTGGAAAGAAAGTTGTAAATATTTCCTCTCTAAGGTAGCCAATATGAATCTTGGGTTATCTATTTTTAATTGTACTTTTAAAGTAAACCAATTACATTGTCTTACCCCTTTTTACAAAGAAATGTTGTTGGCATGGTCCAGTATTTATTCACGTATTTCATTTCAAAACAGTGTCAGTCATACATTTTGTCAACCAATGTTTTGTAATCCTTTGATTCTAGACGAAAATGGTAAAACGGTGTACGAAAACGTTTTTGTAGATGCTGGTCTGATATACTTAAAAGATTTCACTTACGAGGTTGTTGAAGGATTCCTTCCAATCCATTCCATTGTGGAACTGGTCCAGGAAAATAATCCAGAAATCACAAGTCAAGTCATATCCAAAAAGTACTTAAGTCTTCTCAGAAAGTTACCATTGGAATTTTTAGGCACCGTTATAAACAATTGTTACACATCCACTGATCTGACACAACCCGTTATGTATCTGACTCTGAATGACTCGGGATCGTACACTGTTCCACGACATACACGGGACATTTACCGTGCTCTCGTGCGAATGCACTTCGTTGAACCGGCGGCGCGGTCGTTCTGGTCCAATAGTTTTCCTACCTGTGAGGTCGACAGTATTTATAGAATAGTACACGTGCCTTATTATCCGGCTGAGTGTGTCGAGCTCCATTTTAAAGTTGCACATAACGCTATTTTTACGAAAAAGAAATTGATGAAGTGTGGTATGTCAGATTCAGATACATGTCCGGTATGCCAGTCTCAGACGGAGGATCTTTTTCATTTATTTATTGGATGTCCAGAGTTATCTACCCTTAACGTCTTTTTAACCGATATGTTGGATAGTTTGTTTATTAGAGTGCCTTCGGAAATTGTGAATGTACTCAATTATGATTGGCTAGTTCTTTTAGGCTGTGGCAGAAATTCAAAAAATGTTAACTCGTACTTCATAAACTTTGTTTTGAGTGTGGCACGATTTTGTATTTACAAAAGAAGAAATATGGTCATGTTCAATGAAGGTAGTGTTCCAATATTGCGATTCTTTAAGTTTACAGTCAAAAAATTTATCAACTATGCTTTTAATCACTATCGAAAGAAAAACAATGTTTCACTTTTCCGAAAATACTTTATTTGTGATAACAATATTGTATCTGTGATTGACGATCGTGTCTCAGTTAATTTGTAAAACTTTCGTCTGTGATAGTTATGGTTACTTTGTTATGAAACATGTGATTTTTCTTTTTACCTTTTATCTATTTTTAATACATGATTATGAAATGATTACACTGTGAGGAATCTCAAGGGCCCCAACCCTTGAGACCCTATTGCTGGGATAATAAAATTTTTATTTTTACAAGAAAAAAAAAATCACGTCTGCTTCACACGCAGAAGGTCGCGAGTTCGAACCTCGCCGAAACCTAAAAATTACATTTTTATTCTTATTACCGACATATCTTGCATTATCCTAGATCACCATTCAACTTCATCGCAAACATTAAAGTCAACTAGGAATAATCAACCTAACTTTTCAGTAAATATAGCGAATTAAATCAACTCGACTATCAAATATTTCGATCGATCGTAAGAGTATGTGCGGTTCTGTGGTGTAGTGGTTATCACGTCTGCTTTACACGCAGAAGGCCGCGAGTTCGAACCTCGCCAGAACCTCTCAGCATTTTTTTGCAAATGGCACTATTTGGAATCCCAGATCCTCTTATTAGCCGATTGGGTGAAAGAAAAAACCCAACACCGCAGTTCAAGTTCAATACATGTCATGTCGATGCGTATCATTAGAATACTTTCAATACACAGACACTCTCTGCGTCTAGCATTATTTTAAGATGTTTACCAGGATATATATATATTTAGTTCTTTATCTATTTATCTGATTGGTAGCGTAAAATGATAAACCTACAATGAAATGACAGTCGAGACAGTATTTCCGTATTGCTATACCTAAATATATCTTGTTTCATAAATAAATATTTAAAACCACTTTTATCGTAAATAGATCATTGGTCCTGTAACAACAATAACAATTTGCAATAATACACGTTTATGACATGGTCAATTAGTTTAGAAGATATTTCCTTATAACACCATGTTCCATATGCAATAGGAAACAATCTTAAGCATTAGTTATCAACCATATCAACTAAATATTACCCTTCATCAGTGATAATTCTGTTACTGAACTACCCATTCACATCTGTATTTAAACCACAAGGATTAGTCACTTTAAACCTGGGTAAATATCGCAGAAATAGTCTAAAGATTTCATGGAAATTGACAAAGCAAACAAACAGTTATAGAAATTGATGAAAGCATCAACTTCTCTATTACAATATTACAACCAAAAATCTTGTAATACTAAAAAAAGGAAATATCAATTATTTATGGGAATTCCTCGATGCATCAATTTCTCTATTGCAGGATCAGTGGAATTGTGAGATTGATTTCATATCATTTTATTATTATTTTGTTTTTACCTGATGTTGTTTTAATCGTTTTCAAATTGAGGAGTCTTCGGGGCCCCGACCATAAAACCGTTTATAGTCCTCATTATTATGCATCTCGTATATCTCCGTGATGTTTATCTTATTGTCAGAAGTAGACATCTCTCATGGAAATTGTGATACTGGAAAAGAAAGTTCGTCAACGTTTCTGTGAGAATGACCGTAGGTCAATAAAACATGAATGTTACCATCGAGAATCGCAAAATAAATTCACAACAGAGAAAAGCGATAATTACGCTTATGTCGTATAGGAATGTTACTATATTCTTATTGATGGTTATTTAAAGACCAGTTTTGTTGATGGGTGGCAGTATACAGTTTTTTTATGTGGTCATTGGTGTTGTTTTAGTGTATTAGTTTATATCTTTGAGAAGGTATAACCTTGATGAGGTAGACAACTTGATGTCTCGTTATTTTTTTCGGAATTGGGTTTTGAACAGTGTTGAAGATTAACATTTGTTCAGTCTCGAATTTGTGTCTACCAACAAAAGTCGGGCTGAACTTGTAGTAGGATTTCCTTACTGCCAACACGTGTTCGTTTTGTAAACCTGTTCCGGGTTGGGATTAACATGAAATTTCGCTCAACCGATTTTAGCCTTGTTGAAAAAGAAAAAAACCATCCAAAATAATAATAAAAAACAAATCATGAATTTAGTGTACCATTCCGTTTATCTAGACTTAACTTTTGTTTCGATCAATTCGGATTCTCCCGAATCATTGACTTCTAGATTCCCACGCGTAAGGTCCCTAGCATCAATGGTGAGTGTTCCAGGGAAGGGACGAAACAAGAGAGAAGTGCAGTTAAATCATTGATTTGGCATATGTAATATCTCAATACTATATTTGTATTATGTCTCCAATTGAAGGTCCGATTTTATTATATTAAATGTTATCGTATGTTTTTTTGGTATTTGGGTTGTGGGTAGATATATTATGTGAAAATACACGGGGTTTGTCGAATATTGAAAATAAAAAAATAGCAGAAGCATTTTCTTGATAATCGTTACAATGCTGATTCGTGCTGTGTGGAGAATGTTTTAGCACGAATTCAGTATGAAGGTTCCGTGGTGTAGTGGTTATCACGTCTGCTTAAAGACTTCCGGTTTTGATTTCGTAGCGAATGGACGCTTGTCTATTAGCAGTGTTGAAATCTACATTCATCGGTGGTAAGCTAGGGTCTCTGGCCCTGTCGATTTGATTTTTGTGGAATATTGACATTTTTCATTCCCATAAATAATTGTGATGTGATATTTCCCCGATTTTCGCCGTATTTGCCATATCTCTTTTGGCAGGTACGTGCCGGGGGGATGGGGTCGTACCTAGTGGACATAGGCGCTATACGAAAGACAATACTGTAATAATTGATGTTGTAGACAACAAATCGTTGAAAGCCTACAAAGTAATTGATGTGATAACTGAACTGTGCGGCGAAGGTTCGGTATTTGCATGCGTCCCGAAGTCCGGGAATTTGTTCGAGGTCACCCTAGAGGGTAGAGCGGGGATCAACATATTACTGGACGGTGTTTTGATTGACGGAAAAAGGTACGAATGTATGATATCACTAAGAAGTTCACGCTGGTTAGTTTTCTACATCTTCCAGCATATATCAGTGATGATGAAATAAAAGAAAAACTTGAAATTCTTGGTGTTGATTTAGTATCCCCAATAAAACGACGTTTCTACAAAGGAACAAGTGTAGCGGATGGAACAAGATATGTACGTGTAAAGCTACCCCCTAGTTTGAAATCATTGCCATACACTATGAAGTTTGGCAAGGAATATCATCGTGTAATACATGACAATCAGTTAAAAGTGTGCTCACTGTGCTATTCTGATCAACACCTTTTCAAAGACTGTCCCCAGTTTGTTTGTTTTACATGTGGTGGTCAAGGACACTTCCGAAAAACCTGTAAAACGCAGCCGTGTACTCGCTGTGGCGAGGTGAGGTATGCATGTGATTGTGTGCGTGCAGCCAGGTGTATCGATACACTGTGTGACCGATGCGGTGTGTATAACTGCAGGTGTTTTGACACGGAGGCCAATCGTGACGACAGTGAATTGGTCGGTGAGGAGGAGTCGGCAGACGACTGGGTTGAGACGGAAGGGAAGGGACCCTCTGATGACTGTGTCAGTGTTGCTGCTGAGGCTGATAATGAAGATGCTGATATGGTGATGGATTCCAGAAGTGAAGACGGTGGTATGGCTCCTGTGGTGGAGATTAGCAGCGCTGTTGATGAGGAACACACCTGTGAGAATCTCGAAGTTAGTTTGACTGCTGAGTCATTAACTGATGATGATGATGAGGATGATGTTAGCGATGATGATGATAGTGAAGAAGGAAACTACGCGGAAGGTATTTGGAGTCAGACAGACGTCATTTTGAGTGATGAGAGGCCGAACGTTTGTGGTTCTCCTGTATACGGCGATGTTTTTCCTCTCCAAGGTATGACAGTCCAGCCAAAAATGGAGAGTGAAAAGATGGGGGATGAGAGACTTGATTCGGGTAGGCAGAGTGGTGGAAAGGGGCGCGATTGTCTAAAACAAAGGGTGGGAGACTGTGGTGTGAAGAAAAAGAAAAAGCAGAAACACAAAAAAGTTAAGAAAAATTTAGAATGAATTTTGTTTTCTTGGTTTTTCTTATGTTTACGTGTTTGTCTTTAAATATAAATGGTTTGAGAGATGTAGTCAAGATAAGGAATGTTTTTGAATATTGCAAATATAACCATTTTGATGTAATATTGCTACAAGAAACATTCTGGGATGATAATTTTGTTAATCAAATTAACCATTTGTGGGCAGGTAAGATTATTTTTAACAATAGCAATGACCACAGAAAAGGTGTTGCTATTTTGATATCAAACAATCTGAAAGATAGTTTAATTGAATTTGACGGTTATGGTGGGAGAGTCTTGCGAATAAAAATTGAAATAGAAGATATGAAATGGAATATTGTTAATATTTATGCGCCTAATATTGTGAGTGACAGAAAAGTATTTTTTGATCAGTTAAAAGATTGGCTAGTGCCTTTTACAGAGAACCTGATTACAGGGGGTGATTTCAATACAACCTTATCTACACTTGACCGTACTGGTGCTACGACACACCAGGTAAATCCCAGTGTGACTGCATTGAACAGTATAATGTTTACATGTGACGTTTACGATATTTGGCGAAAAAGAAACAGAAATTGCGCTATTTTTTCTCGTAAGATGATTAGTAATGGTAAATTATCACAAAGCCGTATAGACTACTTCTTAATTTCAAAAGGACTAGGTCCTTATGTACAGAACATTTACTACAATGATACATCTTTCAGTGATCATTGTTTTGTAGTCATGAAAGTAGACTGTGCTTTAGGAAGTAAAGGTCCTGGTATTTGGATTTTTAATAATTCATATCTATTAGAGGATGATTTTAATAACAAAATCAGATATATTATTACAGAGGCCAGAACTTGTGATTTGTATATCAGTGAACCCAAAGTCTGGTGGGACAATTTGAAATACAAAATTAAAAAGTTTTCTCAGGTCTATGGTAAAGACCGGTAAACGACGTAATGCTGAATTTTATAGAATTCAAAATAAGTTACAAGCGTTTTCTTGTGATATTGCTAATGGAAAAAAGTTTGATTGTGATAAGTATGAAGCGTTACGGCATAGTTTAGAAAAGTTTGAAGGCGAAAAATGTAATGGGGCAGTTTTAAGGTCAAAGGCTAAATGGGCTGTAGATGGAGACAAATGTACTGGTTACTTTTTAAGGTTAGAGAAATATAGACAAGGCTGTAATGCGATTAAAAAACTACAAAGTATAAATGGTAAAGTTGTAAGTAGTGAAGATGAGTTATCTCATGAAATATTTAATTTCCATAGTGAGTTGTATAATTGTACCAACACATCTGATGATGATATTGATCATCTTTTGTCCTATATTGATACAACAGTGACCGATGAAGATCGTGATAAGTGTGACGCATCTATCACTGTTGATGAAATTAAAGAAGCATTGTTTGGTATGTCTAAAAACAAAAGTCCTGGTTTAGACGGACTTACTGTTGAGTTTTATTGTCATTTTTTTGAGGATTTGCGTTTTGTATTTCCTCGTGTTGTTCATAGTATCTGGGAAGATAAAGAACTTTCCAGAACTATGAAACAAGGTGTTATAAATCTTGTCTATAAAAAGAAGGGTGATAAATCTTTGTTAAAACATTGGCGCCCAATTAGTCTCCTAAATGTAGACTATAAAATACTAGCCAGAGTTATGTCCAATAGACTTAAATCAGTCTTACCCTCTATTGTTTCAAGATTTCAGTCATGCTGTGTACCTGGTAGAGACATCTCTGACACTATTTTTAGTGTCCGAGATATTATTGATGTTATTGATCAGGAGAATTCTGAGGGTTACATACTTAAAATAGACCAACAGAAAGCTTTTGATCGTGTTTCACATTCATATTTGTTCAAAGTTTTACAGAAATTTGGTTTTGGGGAAAATTTTATTAATTGGGTTAAGATTTTTTATTCTAAAATCTCTAGCTGTGTTAAGTATAATGGGAATCTTACAAAGTTTTTTCCTGTGCACAATTCAGTTAGACAGGGTTGTCCGATTTCGGCTATGCTGTACGTTTTGACTGCTGAACCTTTGGGCTGTATGTTTTCAAAATCTCCTGATATTTCTGGTATCAAAGTGCCTTGTGCAAATTTCGAGTCAAAGGTATATCAACACGCTGATGATACTACCTTGACACTAAGTGACAAACAGTCTATTAGTAAAGTTTTTAACTTATTAGAAGTATATAGTAAAGGTTCAGGAGCCAAGATAAATAAAGATAAATCGGAGATCTTGTGTGTAGGTAAAGGAAGTATTTCCAATGATGAAGTGGATCAGTTAAGCATTACTGTATGTAAAAAGAGTATATGTGTACTTGGTGTTTATGTTGGTACAGATACTAATGATTGTAATATGAAGAATTGGGAGAATAAAGTTAATTCTATTAAATCTATTTTAAGGTCATGGTCTCAAAGACAGCTGACTCTACATGGAAGAGCTACTGTAATTAGTGCCTTACTTATGTCAAGGTGTTGGTATTGTATTACCTCTCAGACAATACCTTTGGTTTTTATAAATAATATTAAGAAAGCATGTATAGATTTCTTATGGAATAATGGTGCTCACCTGGTTGCCTATGATACTATAATTGGTAAAAGGGAAGTCGGGGGTCTAAATATTCCGGACATGGAATTAAAACTAAGATCGTTTAGGTTGAAATTTTTGTTCAGGTGGTTGGATAATTCCTGTAGTGCTGCTTGGAAATGTATGTGTCGATATTTCTTTAACAAAATTCTGAATTTACAGTTGGGTACAGAAGTAATTTATTGTAAATTCTCTGATAAGTACCTTAGAGTATTACCGATCGTTTATCGGGAGATGATAAAGGCATGGTATGCCTTTCAGGCTGTTAATGATGTATTTTATGAAAACAGAAACAGTTTCTTTGTATACGAACAACCATTGTTTTTTAATTCTACTATATTAAAGAATGACAATCCTGTATTTATTGATGCCTTTGCCAAGGCGGGTATTACAAAAGTGAAACATTTGACACTTGAACTTGTACCTAAGTTCCTTTCTGCTCATGCAGTAGCAGACATTGTCAGAGAATATAATGCTGACATTTCAGTGGATATTATTTTATCCGATTTTAACTTGATTATGAGTTGTATACCAGCTGAATACAAGAAAACAGTTTTAACCAGTGTTCACACAAATACTAGTACGGAGTGTCAACCTTATGTCGTGTACAAGGATGACAATGGCACCACGGTAAAGATTTTTCCCAGGTCTACTCGGGAGATTTATGCGTGTTTTATCAGACGTTGTTTTAAAAAGCCAAAGGCGGTAGATTACTGGTCAGACATTTTTGAAAATGCTGATTTGAAGCCCGTTTTTTCTATAATGTATATGCCCTTTTTGCCCTCAGATATCATTGATGTCCATTTTCGCACTGTCCACAATTCTATTTTTACTATGGACAAGTTGATGAAAATTGGTAAAGTAGATAGTGATGTTTGTCTTGTGTGTAATATAAAAAAGGAAACATTACAACATATGTACTTTGAATGTTCGGAACTGTCAGACTTCTTAGATTATATTGATATGTTAACAAGGAAGTTGCTTAAGGATGCTAACCCCACTTATATTGTTGATGTGTCTCTTAGGAAGCTGGTTCTTTTTGGTTACACTAGAAAAATTAAAGGAACAAATCATTTTTTCCTCAACTTCTTGTTAGGTGTAGTCCGTTTTTGTATTTTTAAAAGAAGAAATCTTGTAGTGAATAAAATGTCAAAGGTTGATTTGAGGAATTTTTTTATGTATACTCTTCGTAAATATTTTGACTACGTACAAATTTACTACAAGGTGAACAATAAACCGTTTCTTTTTGCCAAATACATGGTACAGAATAATCACTTGTTAGAGAAGAATAATTCTTCAGAAAGAAATTTAGTACTGTCATTGTGAATTATGTTAACGCAATATTTGAGGGTGTGTATTATAAAGCCTTTATTAGATTAAAGACACATTCTATTTTTATTCAATCTGATGGAATGATAAAATACTCACTATTTCACATTCGAAGAGACCGACATGTATTGTTTTTTAATGATTATTTGATTATCATATTATGTAAGCTATGATATTGTCATCGATCTATATATGCACTGTGAGGAACCTCCGGGGCACCAACCCCGTAGGCCCTATTTGCTGGTACATTAAAATTAATTTAAAAAAAAAAAAAAAAAAAAATCACGTCTGCTTAACACGCAGAAGGTCACGAGTTCGAAACTCGTCGGAACCTGATCCTTATTTTTCTTCTATTGTTATCTTTTATTGAATGATTTCGATTGACACTTGTGCAAATTGTACATTTCGGAAAATCATTTTCATAAGGGTTTCGTGGTGTAGTGGTTATCACGTCTGCTTCACACGCAGAAGGTCGCGAGTTCGAACCTCGCCGAAACCTAAAAATTACATTTTTATTCTTATTACCGACATATCTTGCATTATCCTAGATCACCATTCAACTTCATCGCAAACATTAAAGTCAACTAGGAATAATCAACCTAACTTTTCAGTAAATATAGCGAATTAAATCAACTCGACTATCAAATATTTCGATCGATCGTAAGAGTATGTGCGGTTCTGTGGTGTAGTGGTTATCACGTCTGCTTTACACGCAGAAGGCCGCGAGTTCGAACCTCGCCAGAACCTCTCAGCATTTTTTGCAAATGGCACTATTTGGAATCCCAGATCCTCTTATTAGCCGATTGGGTGAAAGAAAAAACCCAACACCGCAGTTCAAGTTCAATACATGTCATGTCGATGCGTATCATTAGAATACTTTCAATACACAGACACTCTCTGCGTCTAGCATTATTTTAAGATGTTTACCAGGATATATATATATTTAGTTCTTTATCTATTTATCTGATTGGTAGCGTAAAATGATAAACCTACAATGAAATGACAGTCGAGACAGTATTTCCGTATTGCTATACCTAAATATATCTTGTTTCATAAATGAATATTTAAAACCACTTTTATCGTAAATAGATCATTGGTCCTGTAACAACAATAACAGTTTGCAATAATACACGTTTATGACATGGTCAATTAGTTTAGAAGATATTTCCTGATAACACCATGTTCCATATGCATTAGGAAACAATCTTAAGCATTAGTTATCAACCATATCAACTAAATATTACCCTTCATCAGTGATAATTCTGTTACTGAACTACCCATTCACATCTGTATTTAAACCACAAGAATTAGTCACTTTAAACCTGGGTAAATATCGCAGAAATAGCCTAAAGATTTCATGGAAATTGACAAAGCAAACAAACAGTTATAGAAATTGATGAAAGCATCAACTTCTCTATTACAATATTACAACCAAAAATCTTGTAATACTAAAAAAAAGGAAATATCAATTATTTATGGGAATTCCTCGATGCATCAATTTCTCTATTGCAGGATCAATGGAATTGTGAGATTGATTTCATATCATTTTATTATTATTTTGTTTTTACCTGATGTTGTTTTAATCGTTTTCAAATTGAGGAGTCTTCGGGGCCCCGACCATAAAACCGTTTATAGTCCTCATTATTATGCATCTCGTATATCTCCGTGATGTTTATCTTATTGTCAGAAGTAGACATCTCTCATGGAAATTGTGATACTGGAAAAGAAAGTTCGTCAACGTTTCTGTGAGAATGACCGTAGGTCAATAAAACATGAATGTTACCATCGAGAATCTCAAAATAAATCCACAACAGAGAAAAGCGATAATTACGCTTATGTCGTATAGGAATGTTACTATATTCTTATTGATGGTATATTTAAAGACCAGTTTTGTTCCTGGGTGGCAGTATACAGTTTTTTTATGTGGTCATTGGTGTTGTTTTAGTGTGTTAGTTTATATCTTTGAGAAGGTATAACCTTGATGAGGTAGACAACTTGATGTCTCGTTATTTTTTTCGGCATTGGGTTTTGAACTGTGTTGAAGATTAACATTTGTTCAGTCTCGAATTTGTGTCTACCAACAAAAGTCGGGCTGAACTTGTAGTAGGATTTCCTTACTGCCAACACGTGTTCGTTTTGTAAATCTGTTCCGGGTTGGGATTAACATGAAATTTCGCTCAACCGATTTTAGCCTTGTTGAAAAAGAAAAAAACCATCCAAAATAATAATAAAAAACAAATCATGAATTTAGTGTACCATTCCGTTTATCTAGACTTAACTTTTGTTTCGATCAATTCGGATTCTCCCGAATCATTGACTTCTAGATTCCCACGCGTAAGGTCCCTAGCATCAATGGTGAGTGTTCCAGGGAAGGGACGAAACAAGAGAGAAGTGCAGTTAAATCATTGATTTGGCATATATAATATCTCAATACTATATTTGTATTATGTCTCCAATTGAAGGTCCGATTTTATCATATTAAATGTTATCGTATGTTTCATATACATGTATGTAGAGTTTTGGTATTTGGGTTGTGGGTAGATATATTATGTGAAAATACACGGGGTTTGTCGAATATTGAAAATAAAAAAAATAGCAGAAGCATTTTCTTGATAATCGTTACAATGCTGATTCGTGCTGTGTGGAGAATGTTTTAGCACGAATTCAGTATGAAGGTTCCGTGGTGTAGTGGTTATCACGTCTGCTTAACACGCAGAAGGTCACGAGTTCGAAACTCGTCGGAACCTGATCCTTATTTTTCTTCTATTGTTATCTTTTTTTGAATGATTTCAATTGACACTTGTGCAAATTGTACATTTCGGAAAATCATTTGCATAAGGGTTTCGTGGTGTAGTGGTTACATATATCACTGTTGATGAAATTAAAGAAGCATTGTTTGGTATGTCTAAAAACAAAAGTCCTGGTTTAGACGGACTTACTGTTGAGTTTTATTGTCATTTTTTTGAGGATTTGCGTTTTGTATTTCCTCGTTTTGTTCATAGTATCTGGGAAGATAAAGAACTTTCCAGAACTATGAAACAAGGTGTTATAAATCTTGTCTATAAAAAGAAGGGTGATAAATCTTTGTTAAAACATTGGCGCCCAATTAGTCTCCTAAATGTAGACTATAAAATACTAGCCAGAGTTATGTCCAATAGACTTAAATCAGTCTTACCCTCTATTGTTTCAAGATTTCAGTCATGCTGTGTACCTGGTAGAGACATCTCTGACACTATTTTTAGTGTCCGAGATATTATTGATGTTATTGATCAGGAGAATTCTGAGGGTTACATACTTAAAATAGACCAACAGAAAGCTTTTGATCGTGTTTCACATTCATATTTGTTCAAAGTTTTACAGAAATTTGGTTTTGGGGAAAATTTTATTAATTGGGTTAAGATTTTTTATTCTAAAATCTCTAGCTGTGTTAAGTATAATGGGAATCTTACAAAGTTTTTTCCTGTGCACAATTCAGTTAGACAGGGTTGTCCGATTTCGGCTATGCTGTACGTTTTGACTGCTG